TTTGGTAAAATTTACCAGAAGGCCCAATGAGCCAGAGTACTTGCTCTTTCACTTGTCGCAAACCAAGTCCCTGATTATATAAAATGTGCCTCCTTTTATATTGAGCATACCGAAGCTTTTTGGTGTAGCGTACCGGTATTCTTTGCTGTACTTGACTTCGCCGTGAAGTTGAACTTTGTGTTCTACTGTTTTCTCACTTCTTCTGCTTCGCCGTGATTTTTTTTAGTACTATTACTACGCGCCGTGTTTATTTATTTCGTGTGTTATTCCTTTTTAGTTTATATTATATTAAATATTATTATATTAAAAATAAAGTGTTTTAATACTACAAAACAAGGTATTAAATATGCATATATATTCTGTGAATTTAATATTATCTAAATGTGAACAGAAAAGAAATATTAAAAGAAATAAAATTGATGTTGGCGTGCTTAGTTTTGTTTTGTTGTGTTTTGTTTATAAAAATAAAATTGGACAACCAAAAATGTTAAACTGTTTTGTGTTTTTTTTGTTTACGCAGATAAACTAAAATTGAACAACCACGAGTGTTAAATTGTTTTGTGTTTTGTTTTATTTATATATAATTGTAAAAAATAGATATTTGTTTAAAATTTAAACATGTTTCGCCAATAATTGTTCATTGTTGTTGCGTTTATAAGTGTTCCATTCATAAAAGTTTTAACCAAAAATTAATTTCTTTTCGTATATTTTTTTTAGAATTTGTACATTGCATGTAGCGATGCCCGCGGCACATTGGCATCGAGGATCACAGGTAATGTCCATGATATTTCAAACAAATATTTTAATTCAATTTTATATTTTCCAGTTAAGTCGCCTTCAGTTATTTTCATGTGAGTTGTTAGATATATTATGTGTAGTGGTGGCGGTTATTTAACACACAGACTGTGTTTTTCTCTGCTTCTTGTTTTATGTAGCACAGAAATTTACTTTGTAAATTTGTGTCGTTACAAACCTCAGATATGTACTCCAGTCCTGCAAAACTGAAAGCCCCCAAGTATTTTTGTCGAGCTCTCGAGAGAGCCGGGCAATTACACATCAGATGCTCTAGAGTTTCCTTTGCATCCGGCTCATTGCATTTCCTGCAAGCATCGTTGTGAATTAGATTTAGTTTTTGGGCATGTGATGCAACCAAACAGTGACCTGTCAACACACCAATTAATGTTCTACAGTTTCTTCGGTTAAACGATATAACATTCTTGGTGTACTTTTCTTCGTATATGTGTCTACACATAATTCTAGCTGTTCTACAGGTGGTTAAGTTCCTCCACCTTACCTTTGCTCTCCTTATCATGTGCTGGTCCAGAAGTTTATGTATTTGTTTCAGAGGTCTGAGTACTTCGCTCGTTTGTTCCTCCGAAAGTAGCATCAACTGTCTCATTTCCCTCTATGCCTTTACGACCAGGAATCCAGTACATACATAGCCTGTGGTTGCAGGCTAGTCTTGCTATAGCTTCCTTGCATTCTAGAACATTTTTGGATGATGACCAGTAAGATTTGATCGCCTTAATGGCTGCTTGGCTATCCACATAGAAATTTATGCAGTGGTTTCTCGTTTCATCCCCACACACAAGCTCCGCCGCTTTCTTAACAGCAAATTCTTCTGCTTGGAAGACACTGCAGTAGTTGGGAAGTTTAAACGGCATTCTTATGCTCAATTTCGCACAATAGATGTCAGCTCCTACTCCCACTTTCATCTTTGAACCGTCTGTGAAAACATTTTTGGTGTTGCATTTTGGCACCATGCCTTTTTTCCATCCTTCGTTTTCGATCACAGTTTTTATTGTTGCTCAGGTGTACATGATCGGGATCATATAATCCGAATCAAGAGTGGCATTCTGATTTACAACGTTATGCCCGAAAGATCTTGCCGCCATATTCTCGGCAAAAATATCAATTGGGGGTAAGTTTAGTATAGCTTCTAGAGCTGCTGTCGGAGTTGTTCTTATTGCACCGGTGATGCACATCACCGCGTGTCTTTGGACCTTTTCCAGCGGTTTTATAGATGTTTTCTTTTTTACAACTGTCCACCAAACTAATATACCGTAAAGTAATATAGGTCTGACTATAGCCATGTAGCACCAGTATATAAGACCGGGTGAGAGACCCCATGTACTTCCCAACATCCTTTTACATGCGTATAAAGCATTTGTTGCCTTCTTTACCCGTTCATCTACATTAGGCTTCCACGCCAGTTTGCTATCCACAATTACTCCAAGGTATTTCGTTTGACTTTTCAGTGGCAAAAGAGTTCCGTTCAAGTTAGGTGGCGTCCATGCTGTGACCTTATACTTTCTTGTGAAAAGTATTGTGTCAGTTTTTTCTGCGTTTACGCTTAAGCCAGCGTCAGTCGCACAGTTGTAAATTGATTTGAGAGCGTCGCTCATTAACGCACTTAGAGTAGATAGGCATCTTCCCGTTACAACTACTGCGATGTCGTCCGCATATGCAATTAGTTTCGGAGCTTTACCATCAAATTGTTTAAGAATTTTATTGATTACCAGTAACCAGAGAAGGGGTGAGAAAACGCCTCCCTGCGGGTTCCTCTACATGTTTCCCTAGCTAGAGTTGTATAGTTCCATTCTGCCCTTATCTGCCTGCAGCTTAAAAGGCTTGCAATCCATTGATATGTAGCCGAGTCTATACCAACATCATCTAAGCTATTTAAAATAGCTTGCGTTGATACATTATTGAAAGCACCCGCAATATCCAGAAAAACTCCTAGAGCGTATTCTTTGTATTCTAAGGCCTTTTCAATATTAGAGACAAGTGTATGGAGAGCAGTCTCCGTGGATCTGCCCTTAGTATAAGCGTGTTGTGCTCTTGACAGAACTTCAGAAGCTAATTGGTCTCCTATATGTGCTGCTAGTATTTTTTCAAAAATTTTGAGAATAAAAGAGGTAAGACTAATTGGCCTATAATCTCTAGAGTAGAGGTGACCATTTTTTCCTGCTTTCGGAATAAAAATGACTCTTGCCACTCGCCAGTTTACAGGTACGTAATTATACTTCAGGCATCCTCTAAAGATATTTATCAGCAATGTTTTTATTAGGTCCGAAGCCTTTTGTATCATAGCTGGATAAATACCATCAAGTCCAGGAGATTTGTATGAAGCGAACGATTTGACTGCCCATTCCAGCCTCATGTGAGTAACAATATGTTTTCCTGCGAAGCCTACCATATTCCTGACCGGTTCGGTATTGCTCACAATTGCACAGCCAGGAAAGTGAGTATTAGTAAGATCTACAAGTGATTCAGTGTTAGTTTTTGTCCATTCGCCGTTTTCCTTCCTGACAAGGTTAGGCATAGTTGGGTGTTTGGATAGTAGTTTTCTAAGCCTAGCTACCTCCACCGTCTTTTCTATACCTGCGCAAAAACCTTCCAGGAGTTTCTTTTCGCATTTCGAATGTCTTTTTTGTATTGCTTAAGAATATCTCTGTACTCTTCCCAGATGACTTCACTTTCTGCTAGCTGAGCCAGCTTGAAGATTTCGCGAATGTAGCGTCTTTTTGATCCCAATTCCTTATTCCACCAAGGAGGTTGAGATCTACGTTTAGTACGCATTGGCGGGCACGCGATATGGTACGCTATAGTTAGGGCTCTGGTAAGTTGGTCAAGCCTAGCTTCCAGATCCACGTAAGAATCAATTGTCGTAATTTTTTTCAGTCTCTGTTTCAGAATTTTTCGATAAAGGTCCCAATTCGTTTGTTTGGGATTTCTTACAACTTTTCTGCTTTTAAGGTACTGAAAATCTATTTGGAAACTAATATATTTGTGATCTGAAAATGATGGTTCGTTAAGAACCTTCCATTCTATCACCTGTACATTATCTTCCGTGAAGAGTGTTATATCTAGAACGTTTCTGGAGGTCGGTCCAACATAGGTCGGTTCCTCTCCTCTGTTAGCTACACTAAGCCTACTTTGTATTATGTAATTAAAAAGAGACTCACCTCTGTCATTGATGTCAGTGTTTCCCCAAAGCGTATGATGTGCGTTGGCGTCAGTACCGATTATCAGACTTTGCTCTCCTTCGCCAGCTAAATCTACCAGCCTTTGGAGTTCTTCTGATGGTATTTCTTCCTCATGTGGCATGTAGCAAGACGCGAGAAGTATGTTCCTATCGCCGTCAACCGCCACTACCGTTAGATCTTCTGTAGAGAGAGAGTTTACAATATAAGAATTAATACCTTTCTTTACTAGTATAACAGTTCTTACCCTTGTTACCCCATGTGGAATGAATGTGTTATAGTTTCGTGAATTTAACCCAGAGACCAGGTTGCCCGAGGCCAGCCATGGTTCCTGAATTAAAGCCACATCGTAGCCGCCCTCTTCTAGATTAAGGAGGAGCTCAGCTGAGGCAATTTTACTTCGGTGGAGGTTTATTTGTAGAATCTTTAGCATGAGCTTCCGATTCTTCCCCGGGGTTGGTTTCAGCACTCATCACACCCGGTTCCTCTCCTTCGCGAAGATTGAGGGACGAGCTTAGGATTTCTTCAATACCGAGATCCTCCTCGATTTCCTCCGCAGCGAGTGTATTAGAATTCCTATCGGTTGGGTGTCGTTTTTTGAGGCGAAGGTACACGCTCCCTACTCCCCACGACATCTTCCCGTATCGTGAATACAGAATGTCCTCGGCCATTTTGTTGATTAATAGGATGTAGTTTTGTCCCTCGCCTTCTTTAGCTGGCTTGAGGACCTTTAACACCTTCCAATCGCTTGTTGGCACATCCGGATTCTGTCGTTGTAAGAGACGAAGAGCATCCTCTGGCTTCACCACTCGAGGTATAAGAACCTTCGCTTTGGGCAAAGACGGGATATCTTTCCTGTCCACAACCTCCAAAGATGCCCCTTCCCATAGGCCTTGGAGCGTTGTAGCTGCCTCCCTTAACCAGTTCAGGGTAGAGTCGTCTTTACACTTCAGTAATTTCACTCCGTTGAACCAGCCGGCCCCGTCGAATGATGGCATTGGAGCTTCTGGTTCCGCGCTCATTTTGGCGAACATAGCATCTAATAGCTTCATTTCCACTATTTTCCACCTAGTTTCTACCATTTGACCCTGTGGATCACTGCGGTCGATAAGTGCCACAATCAAGCGTCGCTTGGCCACTATCTCCGCCATTGTTAGTTTAGATGTAGACGCTTCCTGTTCTTTTGGATCACTGGCTTTCGTCTTTTTTGTTGTTGTTGCTGCTTTAAATGTGGACGCTTCCGGCCTTTTAGTAGTATCGGCTTTCGTCCTTTTTGTAGCAGTTTTATGTTGAGGGACAGCCTCATCTTTACGCTTTTGCCTCTTTCCAGAAGGACCTTCGCTTTCCGTTGAGCGCTGCCTTTTACATGCCATATCTTCCTCGATTCGATTTGCAAATTTGGAATCCGAGGGTTCACACCACCTTTTACCTGCGAAAAAGGCTCGACCTTTCTCTATCTCCTCTTTCGCCCAGACTAGCCTGTCTTTCTCTTCCTTCGACAGATCATTCCGGTCTCCGAGGCGAGCACAGAGTTTTATCGCGGCCTTATATCTGGATTTGGCTTTCAACCCCTCCTTATTTGGTTCAGCCCTAGGCCTACGAATGGCCTTAGCAGCTTCCCCCGGAGAACGAAGAAGAGCTTCCTCCTCAATTGTGTTGACGCTAGCAACGCTCTCGTGATCCGAGTCTACAGGGACTATGGCATCACTGCGTTGCATTGAATTTTTGTTTTTTGGAATTGCGCCTTTGTGACCCAAGTCTACAGGAACTTTGGCATCACTGCGCTGTTGTTTGGCAGTAGTAGTACAACTACTGGAACCTGCTCCGATCCCAGCAGAGGTGCAGTCACTGGCGACGCGGCTTATAAAATCACCGCGCCCGCCGGTGGTAGCAACTGCGCCTCCCACCGACGTTTGGGCTGATATCCCAGCCCGATTTTCTTCATTCTTCAACTCCATTTGGTTTTTTATGGAAAAACCTACCATTTTGCATTTTTTGTCTACTGCCAGACACCTCAAAGTTATGACTAGGGAAGGGGCTCACCTGCACTGACCCTGTTGATACCACGACCACTACACATGAGACTCTTCCTTCATCTTAGCTAGACACATCACAGTCCTTGACAAGCCGCATCATGTTCCTCAGCTACAACATCCGAGAGCTTCATGACCCGAATTGCCAGGTATTACCATATATATTAACATAATATTAACGTTAACAAAACTGAACTTCATTAATATAATTTAAATAAATATTCTAAACAATAGTTAAAAAACAAATTATATAAACTGAATTAATAAGCATGAATACCAAATCAGCTTACTATAGCTGATAGTCAGCAAAAAGTTAAGTTAAGAAAATGACAGTAGCAGACAAAGACCAAATAAGTTATAGACTTACTTCATTATCTTACTGTCAGCATCGAAAGATAACGATTAGTCGCAATCTTACAATGAAAGTATAGCGATCTGTTTCTGAAATTTCATTATAAAGAATGGCTTATGTTAATTTTACAGAATTTAATAAATAATATTTATATTTTTATAATAAATGAAAATAAACAGAAAAATATTTACTCGAATATACTTGAGTAAATATCGAATATCTGGATATTTTTGAGAATCGAGTACATCAAAGACATGCTCACATTAATTCATATAATTCCTCTTAAAACATAAGCAATATTTATTCCATAAGCAAGATATGCTAGGATTCAAACTACACTTCTGTAAAATCGCCTGATTAACCCATAATCATAATTCAATAGCGCTCTTGCTGCAGTAGAATACCCAAGTGGTCACAGATGTTATTAAGTAAAAGTCTTTAAAGTACTAACTGTCATTTTATCAAAAAAAAAAGGAAGTGATCACCAGGTCGCTCTATTTCAGGGACTTCAACTATTATTCAGGTTCAGAGCACATCCTTTGTAATATAAACTTATAATTGCAATTATCCTGCCCACTTTTCAATAATATGACAAATATGACCTAAACACCGCCTGTCCTTATATTTTATTTAAAAATGTATACTTAAATAAACTGCGAGATGCAATCATTTTTTCTGAAAAATTTAATGCTTAAGTAGCTCAATCTTGTTATTAAGCCTCATATTAAGATACTTTTTCTATCAACTTTATGCAGTTTACTTAATTTGATTTTATAAAGTTAGTTATATCTAATTTGCTGTACATGGTTTTTATTTTTATGACCAACAAAGGCAGTGGCTGCATAAAGTGCATGTACAACAACAATATTGACTGCAATAATTTAGCCACATTACCACTGCTGAAGCAAACCGCATTTTCCATGTGCCACCCACAAACAGAAATTTAATGAAGCCACCAAATTGCATATTGCCAATGTTGCCAACGCTACCAAAATTTGAATTTGTGTTCCACGGTAGTCACTCCATGCTTAGATTGGTTATTATCTTTTAGTTTTTCCTACATAACTGTACGTGGTTTACTCGTATTCCCGTTGTTTTTGTTCTCCACATGATTTTTAAGTTTAAATCCCTTTTACTTATAAATATGTATGTGTGTGTGTGTTCACATAAAATATTTTATAATGAATCCATCGTATTAAGCTAAACTTTTATGAATAACGTTCGTTCTATGCCTTTATGAATGCATTGAAGCTTATTGGAGCACGTTTGCATATCCATTTTCAGACTCTACTACCGACCACCTACATATATTAGTTCCCTCGAACGAGTGAACCACAAAAATATGAAAACCGCACATGCATCACAGCTCCAAATTTTATTTTCTCTGATAAACTAAAATTCTCTCAATCCGTACTGAAAGTTTTTGGTTAGTTCAAAAATTCACTTGTTTTGGTTTTTTTTTTTTGCAAAATTATTTTTGCATTAAAAATTCTAAAAAGTTATTTATTTTCACCAACGGCCAATGCGTTTTCATTTTATTTAAATTTTTAATAATTTTTTCTCACAATAATAAAAATAATGAAATGGCATTAATATTACGCAAATATTATGACGATAATTATAATAACTACTATAGCAAAAATAAAAATATTTATGGGAATTACAAAAAAAAATCAATATACGACTATATATAAACATGTATTAGACAAAATATTTATATAT